TTGTAATGTTGTTGAAGACATCCCGGTGCATCTGGAATCGCCCTCGTAAATTCTTCTCTGAGTTTGTTGCATTTGTCTTAAAGTAATCCCTCACAAGATCGTCATGACCCTTTGTCATATCTCGATGAATGTGGATGCGGTAAATCTGAGAACCAATACTCGGTCTCCTAAATTCCTTCTCTTGAATGATCGCGGTCACCACCATCTCAAAATCATCTTCTTCCTCCTCTGACGAAGAATCCTAGTAGCAAATCTCCCACAATCATAGTAGCAGTTGGCCGAACATCTTGTGTGCCGAGGAGGCCCGAGCTATGTCGTCGAGCGATGGAGCTACAGCGATAGCCTGGCAGATGCAAAGAGGCCAGTGATGGTTCCAAGCAGCCCATAGCACAGATGCATGGGGTCGTCGGTGACGCACGTGAGCCAGAGGAAGTTGTGAAGAACTAGGCCTATTCTGGCATTGGTGTCCACAAGGTCTTGTGTGGTGACGTTGCTCTAGCGGTCCCGTTCCCGATGAAAACGGAGCTTGTTGGAGAGATTCTCGATCTAGGCGGCAACAATGAAGAAAATATCGAGTATAGATCATGATTTGCTTGTGAAATGTGGTGTCGTTGCACCAATGCCGCCGGTTATCATGGACGATGAGTCGCTCCATGCATGATGCCAATCTCGGTGATGGTACACAACACATTACCACTTCGCCAAGACAATTGCGCGACATTGAAGTTGAGAACAAAGGTGATGCATTTACAAGACTACTGGATCTATATGACATGTTGTATGAACAACCTAACATTAAGTAAACAGGAAAAACAAATATTTTGGTATTAAGTTTTGTGAAACAGAGCTCAAAACAGGTTATTAGTAATAACTTGTGTCTAATTAGTAATAACTTATGTCTGCATTTGCATTACCAATAAGTCTAATGAACTAAATTCAATAAATAAAAATAAATTATATATCCATTAAGTCACCAAAGTTAAGTTACTAATACAATCTCATAACAGTAAGTTTCAGCTGGTGACTTAACACAAGACTCTTTACACATCGTAATTATTGGAATCATTTTAATTTTAATGGCAACAATTGCACATCAGAATCTTTGTAATATTATTAATTATGAAGTAGAAATATTAAATAAATCAAAATGATGAATTAATTAAGTTTCATTAACAGTAACTAACTAGTTCAGTCTCGTAATATTAAGTTTGAGCCCCAGTAACTTAATGCGACACTTTTTACATACATAAAGGTATCGCTACCATTTTTATTTGCATTTTAAGATCTGAGATCATAATATTTCATGTTACACTTACTTAATATGTCCAACAATAGAGTTCTTCCAAGAAAACAAGCGACTACAAGAACACATAGGTAGCAACATAATTTAAATGAGATTTAACAGGTATCTAAGAGATTAAACAGGTCTTGAACAACAAACAAGAATACATACCGAATATACAACCAACCTTTTCAGCAAAATCTTTAGCTATAACTCTGCTCCTCTTGTTGATATTGTAGGTGTTATCCAATTGTTGAGAAAAGTAACTGCTCTTTTTTCTTTCTTCTACAGAAATGCTGGTCCATGATGATTGTTCTTGCATGAGAACATGGAAGTACAAGAACAGACAACAAGCAACAAGAACAGCACCAAGTATGGGCAAGATGAATCATTTTTGCTCATCCCTTCTATTTTTCTATGTTAGATTATATAATCTACTATTACGCGCCCCCACACGAACATGTATACCGCTCTGATTTACAAATGCATTATGCACATATAAGTTGAAAATAGGCAGGCCAGTTTACTAACAACAAGTGAAATCTTACGATGCCAACCAAGTAAATAAACATCCAATAATATGTATCTCAATTGATCTCTAACAGTTCTTTGATTCTCTCGAAGCATCATACGAGGGTTATAAGGTGTTGTGAAAGGCTAGTAGTCTATGTAACCAATGGAGCTTAGAATTATCTCCACGTCATGAGATTCCAAAAGTTCAATCACATCCCAACCTTTTTTTATCAGCTTATGTTAATAAAACTATTAGTTACTCTCGATCTTTCATGTCAAAATTTTGGAATACAACATTTGACATCCCTTATCACACCAAATTTAGTCCCCAAAAATAAGTACGGCATTGACATGCAAACAGGGTATCACATACTCATGTCCAAGATATGGCAGGGGTACCCACCTATGCTAGTTATGTTTCCTATAAGAAGCGTGTAGATCTCGAAGTTATGTCAAATTTATCATGCCATCGCTTGGATGTTTGCTTGAGACATACAAAGACTTTTAATTATAGGCTTTGGGGGCACGGATTTTTGAAACATGATTCCACACACACCACCATCATGAATATTAAAATCATAAAAATGCTAGAAAAATCAGGCAAATTTGAATTATTATTTTTGTAACATACATGATCATTGTTCTACTCACGTGTGAAGTTGCATGAAGAAATGACATAGGTGGTATATACTAGGTTCAAAAGAAAATCATTGCTATAAAAAAAAGATCATGTTTGAAGTAATTTGGAGGTCCGGTTTTTTCCTTCGCTAAGAATACGACATTCATTCACAAAATTTCATGTGTGAGTAGAACAGTCAATTAAGTTTGATGACCTACAATTTTAGAATTGTTTGGATTTGATTGCTATTTTTTAGATTCTACTGTTCATAATGGGTGCACATGTCCACCAGTCTATTCACATGGAACCATCTACACCATTGTATTTTCGTAGGCATTGCCCTCTTGACTATTTGCTAAAAGTCCACAAGTCAATTTACATGGAATAATGGGCATCATGCATTTTCGTAGGCATTGCCCACTACTTCCTGTGCGAGGCAAGAGTACTAGAGACCCAGAAACTTGCGATGGATGTGATAGTTTAGTCCATAAACTTGCAAAAGGTGATCAACTCATTCACAAACTTGCAAACTATGTGATGGTTTAGTCCACAGCCAATCAGAGACTGACAATTGGCGCCTAGCTGGCTGCTGCATGGCACACCTGGTCGGACTGGCTCTTTTATGGAAAACCCCTCAACATTTCAGGAAGTCACGCCCGCAGTCCCTGTTTCCCTTGTCTTCTTTATCTCTGTCCAAATCCCTAGCTCCTTGATAAAGAAGACTGTCGGCGATCGGTCGAGCTCGGCCAGTCCACGGTCGTCGGTCGGTCGCCACGAAGGTCGAGATCCGGACGATATGAAGCTCTGGTTGCGCATGCGACTTGGGGCGGCTGGTCGTGTCCCAGTGGCAGGCTCACCGTCGGCGTGCCGTGCTTTCGGGCTGTCGGTAATGTCGATAAGCCGCCCAAGACATGCTCGGATGACCGCTTCGAGCTCCCGTGCACTGCATCGCCCGTCTTCCTCTTCTCCGACTCCGGCCACCACCGCCGCCGCCTCTCGATCTCCACCGCCCGTGATTAACCGTCGGATTCCTGTGGTGAATACGCTGCTCTCCTCTCCCTCTACGTTTCGCCTCAACCAATTTGATTCCTCCTCTCTCTCTCTCTCTCTCTCTCTCTCTCTCTCTGTCTCTGTGTGTGTGTGTGTTTGTGCAGAGTAAGTGGTAAGTAGCACTCCATGCATTTTTTTAGGAATTTGGCAGCTTGTACTGCCTATATGTTAAGGAGTAAAGAAAATACAGAGGTTACATTACATAGCCGGTTTTTATTGTGTCCCCCACCGAAATAAAAAAAGAGGAGTTAATCTGACTCCATGAATTTTGATCTGCAGCTGGGCTCTGACTTCTGAATGTTCTCATCTGATTTGCTCTAGTAACTGAATCCTGGTAGAGCAGCCCCCCATTGTATTAGAATTTAGAATATATCAATACAAGTTATTGGTTATACTAGTACTAGGTGCAGACTACGGCCAATTTCAGATCACCATTTCAGTATTTTGTTCCATGTATCGGTTTCCTGTCAAACTTAATAATTACAAACATGCATTTCTCTTTATATCTCTTTAGTAATTACTGTATATGTGTATACATCTTTGGAGAAGGAAGGAGACAATAATACTACTAATAAATAAAATGTTTGCAGGTTGATAGTTGATAAGGGAAACAGGGATAAAAAGACAAGAGAAATAGGGACTGCGGGCATGATTTCCTGAAATATTGAGGGGTTTTCCGCAAAAGAGCCGGTCCGACCAGGTGTGCCACGCAGCAGCCAGCCAGCTGGGCGCCAATTGTCCGTCTCTGATTGGCTGTGGACTAAACCATCACATGAATAGATCATCTTTTGCAAGTTTATGGACTAAACCATCACATACAACGCAAGTTTCTGGGTCTCTAGTGCTCTTGCCTCTTCCTGTGCCATCTTGGTACTAGTAGTACAGTATTTCCTAAATGCCCACCAGTCTATTTTTGAGTAGCCCGGTTTGAATCTTGTACAGATCCAGCACACCTTCAGCTCCGACTGACTGCACGCGCTTTGCCGAGACCAGCCCCATATGTTCAACAACTTGTGTAACTGGATGCAGAGGTGAATCCACCGCATGATTCCTGGTTAGCAGCCACAAAGGCAAGACCACCCAAGCCATAACTGCAGCAGAAAGAAGACAAGACTCCATTCTCCCAGCTTAAGACAAATTGGGTTTGAATGAGTCCGTGGACCTAGTAGCAAGGCAATACTTCAGGGCAACCTCTCAAACGATCACACGGCACAAAAAGAAGAGAATGCGGTCAACATCCTCAACCTCCCCACACCATACAACACGAGATGACAATGTGCATGCCAATTCCAATGAACTCCAACAATGGAGCTCACCGCGAGATTGCCCTCTTAGCCTCTTAGGGTAAGATAACCGGCGACACCAGGCAGCAGGACTACCGGGAGGCTTCATGGCCTCCCCCTATTTTGACCCTTTCTCTGTTCATAACAGTTATACATACTTATTGCCTACGAGAATTTCCAGTTCCCCTCTCCCGGCCAGGTTTTTTTTTCAAGTTTTCCACTGTTCCAATACAACAATTCCTCCAGGCTAGCATTAGTAACCGACGTAGACTGCAGCATTGACAATGTAGCAGTCATCGTTTTTATCTCCCATTGCTTCGATGCATGTTCCACTTGAACAGATCATCCCGCCGTCAATGACCTCGCAGCTGGTGATCTCACCACTACAAATAACGACAAAAAGGGTATGAGATGTTATGTTCTAAAAGGGGGAGTATAACATGTTATGTGGTACACCAAGATGCAAATTATCAGTAGTTCAGTAACTCCACTAACTCCAAGTTAGCTATTGTCGATTATGATGCACTTATATCCAAGCCTTTGTGACACACTAATATTACTCAACTGTGGTGACGTTTACTGTGAATAATACCATGAAATATGGCATAAATTTTGGATTGCTTGCAACTTTGAAAGGAACATTAATTGGAGGCAACTGTATTACACTTCCAGCAAAATCATGAGTGCATTCAACACAATATTGGAATAGTGGCTTATGGTCTCACCACTATGCTGAAATTGCCCTTGGAGTGTACAATTGGTTGCATTGTTCAAAACGGCATAAAGAAATATGCCTACCTGTTCTTCCACTGAGACAAAATTTGTATCTCTAAATGGCATCCCTCTCAAAGGCACTGGACCAAGTTACGAAAAATATACTTCTTTTTTCGCGAATACGCAAAGCTTGCGTATCATTGCATTGATAGAAGGAAAGCAGAATGAGTACATAGAAGGGTACAACACATATCACGGACGCATAGAAGAGAAGGCGTGGACATGGGACCCGGAGCAGAGAGACACAGGATGCTTAGCCCGAACAAAGAAAACAAACCACAGCTAAACCACCAAACCAAGCCCGAGTAGAGAGGCTTGCCAAAGCAGCAGAACATCGAACATATCTAGATCCAACACTGGGAACGCCACGAGCAAGCAAGATGACGCCTTCAAGAAGGGGAGCGACGACGTGACGCCGCCGCCATCCGATCCGAAGAACCGGATCAAGGGTTTCCCCTGTTGCTCGAAGAGGGGCACGGACATAGGCCATGGCAGCGCCTCCAAGAAGGGAAACGACACTCGCCGGTGCCGCCGCTGCCAGCGTCGGCGAGCCGAGCAGGGATTTCGCCCTGGCTTGAGTCCGAGCAATCCCATGCCGCAGATCAGGATCCGGAGATGAGGAAGTTGCTTTGCTGATGGAGATCACCACCTCAGGAGGGGGGTGGTTGGGGTTGCGCCTGCCGCTAGATGAAAAATATACTTCTCCATCTGAAAATCTCCTTTACATCTCAATTGGTCTCCCGTAACGATGGATGTTTGAATGCATGTGTGATTGGCCGAAGTTCTATCACTAGCATACAAAGCTTCGATGATAGCCAATTAGTCATCTTCCCTACGTTAGCACGCCAAAAAATTACCAAACATTCTGATTTACAACGTGCCTGCTAAGATGTGCATATCACATATCAGGCATAAAGTTTTACCGGATTGCCCCAAAAGTGATTGATAATAGGACACACATGCTAACTTGTCGTAGATCACATTCGTAAAGCGGGACTTTTTTTTGGTGAAGACTAACATATCTTGCAATGGCGTGTTCATTTGAAGCAGAATACATATAGGTGTGTTAGTTGAAGCCTTAAACATCAGCCACCTGATGTTAGTTGAATCCAGGTGCTAGATTAGGTGACACATACTTGCTAGAAGTACAGGAGGCAGGGATAGACATACAAGTGAAAACTCAGGCTGCTACAGATCCTAGCATCTAGGTGCGGACGTGCTGACCTCATGCATGGCGACTGCAGGCAGCCTGCAGCCGTTAGCAGACGCTAATTAGTCCGGTCGTGTAACTCCTTTAGTGTAGCTGAGTTAGGTTCAGTTGCCATCCACACGTAACAACCGGTCAAAACTATGGTAAAACAGCACCAGCCAAACACCTCGGTAATTTTGGTAAAACTGAAAAAAAAAACTACGGTTTAAGAAACTGTAGTATTCCTTGCCCGCGCATTGGAATACTGTAGTTTTGAATTACCACGGTTTTCTAAAAACTGTGCTGCCAAACTAAGCCCTAGTCATCAGCCCCGTGTAACTGGACGGCTATAATTTTTAAATCACATAACAGTACAACAATTTACAGAATTTGTTATATGTGAGATATATAGGAATACATTGAAAGAATATTACTGAAAACATATCATACTTTTAATTGCTAAGGGTGTACCCAGTGCTGAAAGCTCCCACACAAAGTGGGGTCTGGGGAAGGGAATTTCTAGACAACCTTACCCTTGCATAATAATTCTGCAAAGAGGCTGGTTTGAACCCAGGACCGCCAGGCCACAAATGGAGAGAGACTACCACTGCGCCCGGCCCGCCCTTCATACTTTAAATTGCTACCCAAAGATAAATACTATTACTACTTCAATTAGTTTTACTTAATTGTATTGTCAATTTGTCATTCTCAATTGTTTTACTTCCAATTTTCGGAAGTCTTGCAGCCCAATGACTTGGATTTCCAAGAACTGTTTTTTATTGTCAACCAAGATTGATTTGTTAGATTTCTATCTAGGATTGGTACACTTATCTGTAGTCTAATGGATAATTTGACACATTTGTTAAATTCAAGGACGATTTAAAAAGACCAATGAACTGAAATCACGGCACATGTATTATGTTCAAAATGGATGAGGATGCTCGCCTGCTATTTACTTAATCAGAATGGACTTCCAACTGTTTGCTTAATCTGAGAATATGTGTATATATGATACCTAAGACAGACATAATCTTGATGTAACATTAACATATACTCCCTCCGTCCCATAATATAAGAACGTTTTTGACACTACACCAGTGTCAAAAACGTTCTTATATTATGGGACGGAGGGAGTACCACTTTCTACATAGGCAATATTGATTGAGAATTATGAGACGTTCTCTTCTATAGATGGAATGGCTATGCTACACACAACATTTAGTTCCGGGTTAGTTTTATTTGTTTTCCCCTTACATTATTCCAGTATATACCACAATCAATGGGTGATGAAAAATAATACGTAGCATCCATCATAGATCCTGTTCGTCTCTTATTAATACAGGAAATTTCACCCTCTTTTCAGAAGTAAGATAGATGCATACTACTCCCTCCGTCCCATAATGTAAGACGCCTTTTGACACTAATGTAGTGTCAAAAAGCGTCTTACATTATGGGACGGAGGGAGTATTTCTTAGCAGCCTCCTCGTACTTGTGCCAACAGATAACTATCTATCCTATTAGGGAACATGACCAACAGCAGCTTTCTTCCTGCTAATTACGATTATTCAGTTTCATTTTTCTTTTTGACAGATGGTTCAACTTAATAGGTACGCACATTATACCATGACATCTATGGAATAGTTGTTGTATCCATCCGATATGGCAATGTGTCCATCAAAACTTTTCTCTCCTCTGATTAACTATGACTGGTTGGACTCTTTAGTCGAGGGACGAATCAACTTCGCATGTACCATGTATCATGTGCAAGTAACACTTCTGCTATCGTGCACAACAAAAACTATTACAAATATGAAATATCTGAGGGTTCTTGTACTGTCTCAAAATGTAAGACGGCTTTTGACACTATTACTTTTTGAGACAGAGGGAGTATTATCAAACCAATAGTCAGATGATCTCCTTTTGAAAACTTCTAATAAATTCCTCTAGAGAAGTGGAGGCTTGAAAAGAGCCCCCAATTAGTAAATATAGCCTGCAAGAATGACTATAGCCTTATAGGAACTGTATGAGTACTACGCAATATGCAATATTCAACTCTTGCAAGTATATCTTCTCGACAAGTCATGTGAATCGCATGATTGCTCTCCTGTATATCCACATAAGGTGCTTTTGTGATGTTGACTGTTATCTTGCCTCACATTGCATAATGCCTCATAAAGTTGAACATTTAATGAGACACTAGCCTTGGGTTTGGCCGCCTTGTTACTTACACTAGCTAGTACACGTGGTGGTACTGTTTTCTGACCTGAATAAAATCTTTCACAACTGAAACACATGGTGGTGTTGAGAATTCTAAATCACTCCTGCTCAGTACAGTACTGACCACACATCCTTCTGTTGTGCTGCTTGATAAAACTTTGGCAGCTTTGCCACTCACGCCCAGACGGTATAATAGGCGTTTTGACTAATTCCTTAACCAAGATTGAAATACGCATGCTCTGCAGTAAGGAATTATATACCTCACTCTAATGATTGAGTCAGCACTAATCTAGGCACCGTGACAATTTACTTGTCATAAATAAGAGCCCATCACAATGCAACATTGCACTTGATTCTAGTTCCATCCCTTGAATGGTCAAGTTCGAAGATTTCATAGGAACAAAGAAAAGGCAGAGAAAATGCTCACTAGGGGAAGACGGCCTTGATTCTCTCAAAGTCCAACAGATGCTGCACCGGCCTCGGGACACCCAGCTTGATCTGCAGTTTCATCTGTTCACTGTTCACCCCTGGTATCGACCCTGCAGACGTAATTGGCACCAAAAGTAGGGTCAGCTGATGATCCGAGTGAACGCTTTGTGTGCCGGGGAGGTGTTCGGCGGAATAACTGAGGGAAACAGGTAAGCGATTGGGTTACCGCGGCGGAAGGCGGGGATGGAGTTGGAGGAGATGGCATCCTTGCAGGCGCGCACCGCGGCGGAGGTGATGTCCTGTCCGTGCTGGTCGTACCCGACGCCCATCTCGACGAACAGCAGCTTCATGGCCTCCTCCGCCCGTTGTTGTTGGCCGTCGCACGTCTGGGGCTGGGCTGCCGCCATGGAAGAGGAGGCGATGGCTCCGGCGATTGGGCTCTTTGCCTTGGCGGGGCGGGTTCGAAGGTGGAAGTGGGAGCGAGACGGCGGAGGGGAGAAGAACTGGGGCTGTGGCGTTCCTGGTTTTGTCAGGCGAAGGAGACTGCCGGTGCCGGAGAATGGCGCTGCTGATGCCATCGTGTTTTGTCTGATTTGGTTTGATCTGCTCCGCACTGGCTGAATACACACTATCCTGGTCTACCCTGGTTGGGTCCGCTATCTGAAGCACTACTCCTACCAGACCTGTGAGTATGTGACTCACAACGAAAAGGTGATATATCATCAAAAACTGCCGTCGATAGACCCAAAGAGTGACCCCCATTCTTCGTTGTCTCTGCCACCTCGATGTTGTCGAGTTCATCTCATTGCGGTTAGACCCGATTGTAGTTGCCAAATTGAGACCAACCTGTAAGGCCAGTGCCTCGGTCATAAGCGCATCTCCACACCAATCGATTTTCCCGTTTCCTGTTGCGACGAATCTGCCATTTGAATCTCTCATGACAGCGTCATACGAGCCCTGGAGTAAGTCTGGGTCAAAAGCCCCATCCACGTTTAGCTTCACATAGTCGCTCCTTGGTCCAGAGTCACTTGTTCATCATCTTTGCATCCCTCGCTATAGTATAGTTAGCAATCAAGCTCTTTATTGCCATTGCTATGAACTTAGGTTTCTGGACATTTTTATTATGCACTAAATTTCTCCTCTCCTAGGCAAGATGGCTATGGCTCAGACGTACGGACAGACAACGGCAGTGGGGGGAATTTGAGATCAACAACACTTCTGAAGCGAGAGGGATCTTCCAGGCAGCAACACATGCAACCAGTAGCAATGGGGATACGGTTCTATTTTGGGAGGATAGATGGCTCCAGTAACAGAGTACAAGATGTGGCGCCTAACGTATATGATGTAGTGGCTCCTCGGATCAAGGCCTCACGTTCCTTACGGCAAGCCCTTCTGAACAATACTTGGGCGATGGATGTTGGCCCTAACCTTGGGCTCGATAATATCGACAAATACATGCAGTTATGGGAAAGAATGACAGTGATGGAACTGCATGCAGAGAGGGATGATGCCATCTACTGGGCTTGGAGGCCAATGGTTCCTATTCCATCCGATTAGCGTACGTGGCATGGTTTATGGGATGAGAGGTGGCACCATAGGTGGACTTCGTGTGGAAACAGAAGGCACCTTTACAATGCCGCTTCTTCGCATGGTTGGCCATGCGGATCCGCTGCTGGACTTCGGACCGATTAGCTCGATGTGGACTGCCTCACCAAACTACGTGTCCCTTCTGCAACCAATAGGCCGAAACGTTCAATCACATACTACTCACCTGTGTCTTTGCAAGAACGTTGCGGCTATGGATGTGAGTGCACTTGGAGACCCGAGACAGGCTCCGGCACCAGAGGATACATTGGTGGAATGGTGCTCCACACGTGTGGCGATACATAGTTCCACTAGAGACTTAAAAACAATCATTACTCTAAGACTATGGGAATTGTGGAAACGCTGCAACACAATAGTCTTCGATGGAGAAACACCATCACTTCAACTGCTGCTGCGGAACATTGATCGCAAAGGACAGATATGGAGGTCAGCAGGACTGCTCAAGGGTGACCTGGACTTCTTCTTTAGTGGTATAAGTAGGCGGGCTAGTGGTGAGTAGTTCATGCTTGATAGTGAGTGGCAAGTGGAGGCCGGAGTGCCTTGTAAATAGTATGTAAACCTTGTGGAGGGTTTCTTCACCCCTTTCTTCTCTAATATATGATATGCACACTTCTGCATATTCTAGAAAAAAATTCTCCTCTCCCACCATATATACCAAGAACCAATAGCAATTGTTTTCGTTGAATTTCCTAGGCCGAGGACAACATATTCTTCAGCTGGTTGTAGCAATAAATATTATAGCACAACTTCTCCCGCATAATCCACGGCGCATGCTTTATCAATAGCAAAGTCCAAACCCAGTAACTGTCATACCTCTTTAGCTTTTGCACAAGTAAATACCCTCTGCTCCTATACCTCATGTAGGACATTGTCTAATGACTTTTATATGTATGTTAGCCAAAGTCACCGACATGGTAGCGATCTTAACAAAGTTCGCCAGAGGAAAGTTTTAACCTTGATAGGACATCTTAAGCTCTAGATCGTCCCTCATATTGGTGAATTCTGTGAGAGTCCGACTGTATTTTCTCCTGATATTTCATGTTCATATTGGATGTGCCACTCTGCAAAGTATGTCAATGTAACCGAGAAGCTCCTGTTTTGCACAAGTTCCATGCTACAAAGTCCGACATGTCAAATTCAGGCAACGGAACCGCAAGGATCCGCACCACATCAACTTGGTAGAATGTTTGAGAAACCAACTCTTCAACCAAACAACCCATAAGAGGGTCAATGAAATCACTTAATTTTGATAGTAAATTTCCTCCACGAGGCCGTGATCACTTTCCTGGTAAGTGAGTTAGGGATCCATTCATCATTCCACACATTGATCCGACCACCACCACCAATTCTCTAGATATGACCTTGATACGTCTTGAGCTTGCATTGGTTTTCCTCGAAGAGGGGAGGGTGATGCAACAATAGTAGCGTAAGTATTTCCCTCAGTTTTTGAGAACCAAGGTATCAATCCAGTAGGAGGCTCCTCAAAAGTCCCAAGCACCTACACAAACAAACTGAGAACTCGCAACCAACGCAATAAAGGGGTTGCCAATCCCTTCACGGCCACTTGCGAAAGTGAGATCTAATAAAGATAGTAAGATAAGATAGATATATTTTTGGTATTTTATAATATAGATGCAAAAAAGTAAAGATGCAAATAAAAGTAGATTGAAAGCAAATATGATAAGAGATAGACCCGGGGGCCATAGGTTTCACTAGAGGCTTCTCTCAAGATAGCATAAGTATTACGGTGGTGAACAAATTACTGTCGAGCAATTGATAGAAAAGCGCATAGTTATGAGATTATCTAGGCATGATCATGTATATAGGCATCACGTCCATAACAAGTAGACCGACTCCTGCCTGCATCTACTACTATTACTCCACAAATCGATCGCTATCCAGCTTGCATCTAGAGTATTAAGTTCATAAGAACAGAGTAACGCATTAAGCAAGATGACATGATGTAGAGGGATAAACTCAAGCAATATGATATAAACCCCATCTTGTTATCCTCGATGGCAACAATACAATACGTGCCTTGCAACCCTTTCTGTCACTGGGTAAGGACACCGCAAGATTGAACCCAAAGCTAAGCACTTCTCCCATGGCAAGAAAGATCAATCTAGTAGGCCAAACCAAACTGATAATTCGAAGAGACTTGCAAAGATAACTCAATCATACATAAAAGAATTCAGAGAAGATTCAAATATTATTCATAGATAAACTTGATCATAAACCCACAATTCATCGGAGCTCGACAAACACACCGCAAAAAGAGTTTACATCGAATAGATCTCCACAAGAGAGGGGGAGAACATTGTATTGATATCCAAAAAGAGAGAAGAAGCCATCTAGCTAATAACTATGGACCTGTAGGTCTGTGGTAAACTACTCACAACTCATCGGAGGGGCAAGGATGTTGATGTAGAAGCCCTCCGTGGTTGATTCCCCCTCCGGCAGAGTGCCGGCGAAGGCTCCAAGATGGGATCTCGCGGATACAAAAGGTTACGGTGGTGGAAATTGTGTTTCGTGGTGCCCCTGGATGTTTTCGGGGTACGTAGCAATATATAGGAGGA